CAAGACGCCGAGAGGCATGGTGGAACCAGCATTTTCGGGACTTCAACATCCCCCAGAACGCTGAGGGAGGCGGGAATGCAAAAGAGAAGAGCAAGAAAACCAGGCGGCTAGGACGATCGGAGGACGGAAGAGCAACCGAGGTACCAAGGGCTTCCGTGAGAGTATCGGAATCACGAAAGGAGCTAAAGTACACGGTAAGGCGACCGCTTTGGGCAAAAAAGGCAGCGTCGGAGGCAGCAAAAGGAGGGGTATCATAATTCGGAACTAGTCAAGAGCGTGGGGCGCGCACGGATCGACTTCCGAGGCGCTAGGTATATAAAGGCGCTGTAGTTTACGATGAATGCATCTCAGTTTGAGGCCCACTTTTCCCTCTAAGTCACACCGACCAGAGAAGACGAGTGCGCCACCACACGTAGAACGCGCAGGTCACCGGAGGTCCGGCTGCACAACGAACCGCCTCTATACCACGACATCGCCTACAACTTCGTTGCGGTTCTAGCCCGAGTAGTCCTCCGCTTGGCACCGTTTAAAAGAATCCCCCTCTACGATTAAGTAGGGTAGTTGAAAAACCCTCAAGCGTCATCACCGACTGCCGGCAGAGGCCGCGTGTGTAGACGCTAGCTGCGAAACGGATTAAAAGCGCCTTCAGCAAGCGACTTGAGACGGATAGGAGGGTGAAAGGCTTCATAGGGCACAAAGAAAGGAAGTAGAAAGGAAGGGGTTGCTCAAAGAGGAACTAAGCTACTCCCGCCCTCCGAAATTTACGGTTTTACAAACCTCCGAGCTCGAATTGGCGAGTCGGAAGGACATGAAAAGAGACATACCCCGGACGTACAGGAGAAAGGAGTCCGCATCGCGTCGAAGAAGACCTTCCTCTACTTCCGACTGTAGAGCGAGATCACCCTGCATAAAACCCGGAAGGCTAACTGCTTCCGACTACCATCGACAGTAGTAGCGCCCTCTAAACGGACCTTCCGTTAAGAGTTACCTATTCTTTCTTACAATACATTTTGCCGCAAGTGCCAGGAGACTCTCAGCGACAGAACCAATTTCCCTCTAGAGGACGAGCTATCTAAATTGGAGACTACCCAAGGCACCCAGCCCACTTGGCGTCTACAAGAACCGCAGTCCACATCACACCGGAAAGTATTCCGGTTTTGACAGTAGACATCTTTTGAAGGCCTCAGCCGGCACCACAACTTTGGTTTTGGGTGCCAGTTACGTCGGTTAGCACTATTTTGCCATTAAAAACACTAGTCAGCACTAGTTAGCCTTAATTAGCTATTAGAAACACTAGTTAGCCTTAGTTAGCTGTTAGAAACACTAGTTATCACTAGTTAGCCTTAGTTGGCACTAGTTGGCCAATCAGAAACATTAGTTAGGCTTAGTTATACGCTAGCCTGAGTTAGCGCTAGTTAGCCATTAGAAATGCTAGTCAGCACTAGTTAACCACTAGTTAGCTTAGTTAGCTATTAGATTGCACTAGTTGGCCATTAGTTTACACTAGTTAGCCTTAGTTAGTGCTAGTTAGCCATTAGAAATGCTAGTTAGCACTAGTTAGCTACTAGTTTGCTTAGTTAGCCATTAGAAACACTAGATTGCACTAGTTGGCCATTAGTTTACACTAGTTAGCCTTAGTTAGTGCTAGTTAGCCATTAGAAACACTAGTTATCCTTAGTTATACACTAGTTAGCCTTAGTTAACTATAGCACTAGTTAGCCTATTAGAAATGCTAGTTAGCCTTAGTTATACTAGTTAGCCTTAGTTATATACTAGTTAGCCTTACTTAGCCACTAGTTAGCCATTAGAAGCACTAGTTATCACTAGTTAGCCCACTAGAAATGCTAGTGACATTAGAAACACTCATTAGCTATTAGATTGCACGAGTTACATTCAAAACACTAGTTAGCCTGTAAAACTAGAAATAAATTTGAGAGCCGACGATTTTGCAACTAAGGGCTGTTAATGGCTCACAAGTGTGATTACTGATAAGCTGACTAGTGTATTTCTAATAGCTAACTAGTGTTTCTAATGATGTATAACTTCCTCAGAAAATTTGTGACTCAAAACCAAAGTTGTAGAGCTCATTGAGGACGTTCAGATTCATCTAATAACCCATATCTCAAGTCTCTTAGTTGGCCCGCAAATCACAAAATACTCAAGCAAACACGGTTCAAAATTGCAACTGCATTAGAAAATTTGTGACTCAAAAACCAAAGTTGTAGAGCTCATTGAGGACATTCAGATTCATCTATAACCCATACGCCAAGTAACTTAGTTGGCTCACAAAATGCGAAATACTCGACCAAACACGGTTCAAAATGCATACCACTGTACAACTTGCATTAGAAAGTTTGTGACTCAAAAAAAAAACCAAAGTTGTAGGGCTCTGCAAGTGCATGTATTCATCAAGGAGAATAGGGCAGTGTGGGCCTGCCCACAGTGTACTAAAATAAGGGGTTGGGCAGGCCCAAATGCAATAGTGAACATGTGGGTGGGCCCACGAGCTGTTGAAAGAGGAGCTTGGGCAGGCCCACACGAACATAATGAAAGGCAGGCGGGCCTACAGACTATTAAAAGGCGAGCTTGGGCAGGCCCACAGGCACATGATGAAGGGTAGGCAAGCCCACAGGCTTCTAAAAGGCATGTCTGGGCAGGCCCAAATGTATATAATGAGGGGCAGGCAGGCCCACAGGCTATTAAGCTCAAATGTATAGGATCAGGCATGGGAGAGGCAGGCACTGTCAGGAAAACAATATCACAAGTACAATACAAATGATTTATGTTCCAAGTGAAGTGAATATACAGAAAGTATATAGCCACCTGAGGAATATTACAGCTATTGGCAGTACCGAAGGCGCGACTAATTTTTTCTCCTATTTTAGACATTTTCAAAGAATTCCCTCAAACTCGGTCGGTTCTTGACAGATTCAGATGAAACCTAGCTAGGTTTTCTGGCCTAATTCATGCACAATTAGTGATAGAAAGAAACGGGTAAAAATACCTTATATTGAATGATATGGGATTCCAGGCTGTTTTTGCGATAAATGATGTCTAGCATGGTCCAAGTATGTTCAAATGAGCTGATTTTTGCAACAAAGGACTTACATACATTGCAAAATCTGTCATAGAGTTGAAGTCATGAAGGCTCATGGGTGGCTTCAATTCTCACACTATTTCCTAATCCTACTGTGTTGCCCATTACCCCGAAGTGATTTCAGGCATCATAGCCTGAATTATCTGGAATTCTGGCTCTATCACATCTTTCTAACCCATGAGCCTTCATGACGAACATACTTGGACCATGCTAGACATCATTTATCACAAAAACAGCCTGGAATCCCATATCATTGCATATAAGGTATTTTTGCAAGTTTCTTCCCATCACTAATTGCGCATGAATTAGGCCAGAAAACCTAACTAGGTTTCATCTGAATCTGTCAAGAACTGACCGAGTTTGAGGGAATTCTTTGAAAATGTCTAAAACAGGGGAAAAAATTGGTCGCGCCTTCGGTACTGCCAATAGCTGTAAATATTAGCTGCCAAATTTGAAGGCCAGCAAAAATGCAAGCAAGATAGGTAAATGTGCTGCAGATTGGAAAGGAGAGGTTATTAGCTAACAAGTTATATGTATATAACCCCATGAGTTCACAAGCCAAAAAAAAGCTGCTGTGAGTGAGCGATTAATAGCAAAATTGTCGGGCGGCTGCGCGTGGCTGCAAGAGCGGCCAGAAAGGCCCAAATGGCAGTCAGAAAAAGGCATCATGGGCAGGCCCATGAGGAATGGGAAAAGGACCCCAGACACCAGTGTGACAAGTGACATCTGTGGGCCTGCCCAGGCAGAATGCCAGGAAACAGGTGGGAGCGCCCATGCAAAATCGGGCAGCACTTGGGGGCGCCCAAGCACCAGAAAATACCAGGTAGCTGGGCAGGCCCAATTTTGATCCCATGGGCACACCCCACAAGTCAGAGCCCTCTTGGGTATTTTATTCCAGTGGGCCTATTTATCCTAACTTGGTCTGTGGGGGGGGTGCCCAAAGTGCTCCGGGTGGCCTCTAGGTGATGTTCGGGCGGTTTTAGCTACTCCTAAGCTGGCTAAGGCTTAGAAGGTGAGAATGTGGGCCGAAACTGAGATGATATTTTGCTAGACAAGCTGTAGTATTTATACCCCCAGCCCAAGGCTGTGCCGGAGTTGCTCCTTTGTGTCCCAAACTCGCTTGCTCACACGCTTCTCCGCCCGGAGTTCGTCTGTGACTCACTTCAGACTCCGTGAACCTATACCCATGCTGTTCTCAGCCAGGCACTGAATCCGCGGTCCAGATTCGCTGGCCCTAGCCCCAGACACTCCATTTCCGATCCTAGCTCTCCTCTGATCTGGCTTCCACCTGCGACGGCTCAATAGTGTAGTGGTAAATGCACTCTGTATCCTTTCACCCCAGTGTTTGATTTATGGAGAGATCCAGAGTTCGATCCTCTGTCGAGCCCTTCTCTTGTGCTATCCACTTTTTGATCACCCGGAGTTCCTGTTCCATCCTTCCAGGCTGTATGCATTCGCGACTTGATGGTGTAATTGTAACGCATCCTGTGTTGGTTCTTGCACAAGCGCCTCTTGCAGGAAGTCCAGAGTTCGATCCTCCATCGAGCCATTCCTCTGTTCCATCCCTTTTTTGTGCGCCACTTATCGGACCTCCGTATCGGTCGTACACATGGTCCGGTGGCATAGTGGTAACGCACTCTGTTCGTGTAACTGGCAGGAAACTGAATAATGGAGGGACCGGGGCTCGAATCTCCGACGGGCCTTGCATTTTTTTTGTCCATCGAGTAAGAAGATACAGCACGTTTTGAACGGTTCAGTGGCGTAATGGTATCGCACTCTGCATTCCTATGTAGTTCACGGTATGCTTTATGGAGGGTTTGGAGTTCAATTCTCCACTGAGCCATTATGACAGAAACCTTTCTTTTTCATGGCGATAGTTTTTAGCTGGTCATTCAATTCCTACAGCTTGGTGGCGTAATGGTAACGTGCTCCAGTAGCGATCTACTGCATTTGTATATCGTTCGACGGAAAATCCGGAGTTCGATTCTCCGTCAAGCCATTCCGACGGAAACCCTTCTTTGTTCACGGCGATGGTCTACTTGGCTTTTTGGTCATCCGATTCGTAGCTTGATGGCGTAGTGGTAATGCGCTCCGTGATGATATATAGCATTCGTATATTGTTTGACGGAAAGTCCGGAGCTCGATTCTTCGTCAAGCCATGCAATGGAAACCCTTCTTTTATTACAGTGATGGTCTATTTGGCTTTTTGGTATTCAATTCGTAACTTGGTGGTAACGCGCTTTGTGTTGTATATCATGGAACAGTTCGGAGGTCAATTCTTTGTCAAGACATTGGTTGGGTCAGGATAACATTTTAACTCAGAGTTGCTCCTTGGTGGTCATTTGAGTTCGACTCTTTGAATGCTTGGTGGCGTAAAGGTAATGCACTCCTGTAACTATATGGAACGTTCACATATTGTTTGACGGAGAGTCCAGAGTTCGATTCTCCGTCAAGCCATGGGTTGGGTCCGGATAATATTTTTAACTCGGAGTTGGTCCTTGGTAGTCTTTGAGTTTGACTCTTGAATGGCTTGGTGGCGTAATGGTAACGCACTCCGTGTACCTATATGCAACATTCGTATATCGTTCAACGGAAAGTCCGGAAAGCCATTTGCGTTAAAAATATTTTTTTTGTTGTCCGCGGCTCGGTGACATAGCAGTAACACATTCTGAATTCCTACATAGGTGTTTTGTTTTCAGGGGGTATGGAGTTTGATTCTCCGTTGAGCCATGTCTGGGTAAGGTTGCTTTTTAAAATTTGAGTCAAGCTGTAGCCGCGTTCTCGGAGTTCGGGGTTGTGAGATCATGTCGGGAGCTATCACAGGGTGATGGCTCACACCGGGACCCGGGCCAATATGCAGGAACTCCTGAACGTCGAATATGGTGCAGCTTTCCAGCGCACCCGAGCTATTAAAATTTATACTGGGTGCCGCATAGAGTTCTCTTAACATCCGTCGCAATATGCAATAGCCGGGGGGGCAGGGCGGAAGAAAAAAACAGTACAGCTTTCAGTGGCCACGAGGCCCAATAGTTACGGTTTTCTCAACGAAATCTACGGCTTTTTCTCTGGCTTCCCCGTGATGTTCCACTGCGAATTTTAAACTCTGCCGCCGTTATGCGTTTGGTATGTCGCGAATTTTCCATGTCGGTGTTGCGCCCCGCAAAACCGGGATCGTTAAACAATACAGGACTCCACTAGCGGTGCCCGATTGTCCCTTTCAATCCTTTAACTCGCCGGATTCATATTTCCATTTCATTCATAGTAAACAATAAGAAAATAAGAATGTAAAACTTGGCGGAAGAAAACAACCCTTGAGAATCAGATGAAGATGGAGAGTTCCTGGAATTTAAATGAGCGCGATGCGACGAGTTACAGGGTGGTCCATACCATCTGCCTGACGGTAGCGGAGCTGCCCGCCGAGTAGGTGGCGGCATTTGCCGCCACGACGACTTGAGAATGAGTCAGGTCGAGCCGCTGTTGACATTCATTCGAGGCACATACGTTGGTTTCGCGTCTCATCCAGCAGAACGAGAAGGTTCGAGTGTAAGGCTCAAATTCTGTTAGTTTACTGACTAGAAGCTCAATGCGGGACTCACTGCCACTGGGATCCTCTAGAACATTCACTCGTTAATGAATGAAACCTCAATAAAATATTGTGCAGACTTACTCCATGAAGGCACCAGCACCTGACGCCCAACGGCGCTCCCTAGGACCCAGACCTGGTTTTCTCCGCAATCAGTGTGGAGATTGCCATAGCCAGCGCCGAAAGTGTTTTGAGTAAACCCCGGGGTGGGAAACGGTCCAACTAACGAGGATGTTCAAGTATGACTCAATGAGTATCGAGATCGTTCAGAACCGCCGCGATACGTACGAGGGTTACCGTCCGCCGCTGAAATGGCGACAAATGGGTTAGTAGACCCGGTAAAGGCACATTCGCTGCACAGGGTCGTCCCGCAAATCAGCGACACATATCCAGCTACCGGGTCGACCGGGCTCAGAATTCTGTGCAAGCACCAGTTAGTTCAAGTTCATTTATGGGAGGATGTTTTTCACTGGATCCAGACAGGGCGACCGTCGTTGCAGCTGGTGCTGAAAACGACGACCGGCAGGTAGTTGGAAGGGTCTCCACTCGTGTCAAGAGCTGCCAGTGTAATTAGCCATGGGTCTTCTCACATTTCAACAGAACTAACTGAAAACCCCTGTAACGAGGTTTCTGGACTGTAACATCGCGAATTCAGAGCAGGGCAGGGGCGTGCAAAACAGATATAGACTTACGATTGCTCCTACGAAAGCACCGGTGTTAGCATCGTATCCGCCGAGGTAGCCAGCATTTCTGCGGACGCGCAACATCATCTTGTGAACGACGAAAGTAAGTAGTGACGAACTGTAGACATTGGGCATGAACGCCAAGGAAGGCCATCCAGGTACCGATGGCCAATCCAATGAGAGTTTGGAGAGAGATCATTGCAGTGTTGTAAGTGCGCGTGTTAAAGAAGATTGAGATCCTGGGTCCTCACCATTCTAATGCCACCATTTTGTACAACTCCAATGCCGAAGCCCAAGGAGCATTCGTCATGACGAACAGCAAAGCAGAAGGCAATGCTTCCATGCAAAATTTCAACTGAATCCCAAGAATAGGCATATCTTGCAAGATGACCTAGCATAGCGCGCAGGCTCGCGTACAGATCAGAGCATGTGGCCAGATTTGTCCGCAATAGGCAAGATAACCTGACCGATCCATCCATTCATAATGTCGCGCCTCAACATATTCCGTATACAACAGGACAGATTACAAACATTTAGGCGCCCAGGTTTAGCGCGCGCGCGTAAACGAAAAAATACAGCAGTAACGCTGTCAGATATCTATCGTTGTTCCATTCTCAGTGCCCAACGCCTTCCATTTCAAGTTCCAAATCATAGCCAGCAATAATACAATGCAGAAGGCATATTTCCTGTTTCAACGGACATGAGTCAGTGCGTCTGGCGCCGGGGTTCTCAGCTTCGATTTGGACTTCATTCGAGTCCAGGCATATAGCAGCCGCTGAAGGACTGAAAGAAGCTTCAAGCGCCCCGAAACATCTTTTCAGGCACTCGTATTCAATTTTGAGCGTCCATTTCAATTCCTTCCAGAATATGGTTCATTTTCCGCCCCCGGCGCTTGTAGTTAGTGCAGTGGGTAGGCCCTCCCGTTTGGGCGAAATTTCCTACGTTTGAATGTCAACAATCGCGATTCCACCTGAGGCAATAATTTTTGGCTCACGACAAGGCTCACGAGGAGAATCGAGCATTACCCCAACTTCACTCACGTGGGACTCGCCCCGATAAAATGGACGGAGATACCCTGCCATTTCGCTCTCAGCATCCTGCCATATCCCGCATCAAATTCTGACAAGTGGCAAGCCCAGGGTAGTCTCTCTTGACAGACCCCTCGCTCGTGGCTCGTTCTGAGCCCAAAGTCGAATCAAAATCGTTTAGACTTTCGCTCGATACGTTCGGGACTATTTACCGTCATCTGACCTGCGTTTTCAAAGCTTCAGGCCTCGGAAACTTTCTCTGCGATTTTTTTGCCCTTCAATAACGGCGCTAGCGCGTCGCCGGCGAGGCACATGTCATTCAGACTACCGCTACGCGGCGGGAGGATAAATGATGTTTTCTTGCGCTTCACCGGCTGCCCGGCACGGGACCCAGAGCGACTGTAATTCGATACTTCTCAAATGGTTCTGGAGAGCCGTCTCAGCGCTCAATGCCTTTCGCCCTTCAAGGATGTCTGGCATTTTAGAAATCCGTCATCACAGGCGACACTATCAAGTCGATGACCGCTTTTGCCTCCGCTTCTGCCGACCTAACGTGTTCGGAGTCGGCGAGTTAACGCCTCGATGTCGATATCGCCCTGCGGCGCACTCGTCATCTACCTTCCCGCGGACCTCTTTCGGTGGGATGATGAGCGACATGCCGGCCATCCGTATCATTCATGGGCTCGCACTCGATCTACTTGGACGTCCCCGGCCCGTCTTTCAGGTGTTCGCTCCGGGCCCGGGCGACATACCGCAGTCCACCACGATGTTAGCCTCGGGCGCCGCAAGCCTCAAATGGATCTTGGCAGGCGTCTCAGCGCCCAACGCCTTTCGCAGGCTTTGCATGGATTCCTCGCCCTCCTGAAAGCTCTCACCGCCGTGGCAGACACCATCATGCCCGTCGAGGGCTGCTTTTGTGTCACTTTTTCCCGGCCTTCGAAGTGTTCGCGGTCGACGCCTCGACATTGGATCTGCCAGCGGATGGACGTCGTCCGCGATCTCCGGCCCATGCGCCAGGTGTTTGTCCTGCGCCCGAGCGAGGTCCACGACGATCTTCATCTCGAGCCCGTGCAATACTCGAGTCTCTGAGTCAAATCCATCCTCCTCTTCTCCGCCGCAAACTGCAAGTAGTGCTGGGTGGGTCCGGTTCAAAAATTGGTTCGAACCTGAACCGGACCGAACTGAACGTAACGTTCAGGAACTTCAGGTTCAAGGTTCGCACATTCTGGGACTTGAACCGAACGTCAGGTTCAGCGTTCGCACCTCCGGGGTGCGTTCGAGCCCCGAACCGAACCTGAACCTGAACCTAAAATAATACGGGGATTATCTGAGGATTCCGTGGGTTTTGGGATTGATTTCGGAGTCAAATTCCTTTAAAATTGTGCGAGACATCTGTAGATGACCTGGGTACAGATTTTCACCTCGTTTGGATGTGGGAGCAGTGAGTCACAGGATGTCGCACTCTATCCCACGCACTCGTCCCGCTGACAAAATATCTCTGGTTGTCTGTAGGGGCTCTTCTGTGCATTTCTGTAATGAATTGATCTTTTCATGGAACTGACCTGTTTCCGTAGGTCCTTGCTCGAGGGCCTTGCTCCAGGAAAAGGGATTTTGTTTGTCCGGTTTGAACGCATTCGAACGCCGAACCGAGCCTGAATGCAGGTTCAGGTTCAGGGTTTGCCGTTCTCTTGAACCGGACGCCAGGTGCAGGTTCGGCGTTCTGCGAAAAGGGTCCTGAACCTGAACCGAACCGAACCTGCCCAGCACTAACTACAAGGTCACCGTGAACAAGCACCCCCCTGCCGAGATTCGCTTCACGAATCACGGGCCGACGCCGGCAGGCCTCCTCTTGCCAACTGAGCTCA